TGATTAGTATTGTCCTCTCTTGGTTTATTGTTATGTTCTCTTTAGTTTCTTTGCTGTTGCTAGATTAATTTGTCGTTTTTATTGACGCTCACCATCAGTAATCTTCACTCATCACCTGCTGCGCCGCTTAATCATCATGTGTTTCACCTGATTTGCCACTCGTATTGATTTTTCACTATTCACCGCCGGATTCTCTGATCCTGGTTATCCCGTTTCGTCTTTTTTTTTTTTTTTTTTTTCCCCTAAGGCATGGAGCGGTCGGGCAGCGCATATCGATGGAGAAAAGCAGACTGACGTTTGTCGGGGTCAGGAGCATCCACCTGAATAATATGTAGTTGCGCCCCTGAGCTGGTTTAACGCTGAACTGATGCAGTGAAGCTACCAGTAGCAGGAGAACGAAGCTGCACCAAAAGCTACAAAGCTAAATAGAAGGAGAGCTGCATGATTTAATGTTACACAATGCACTTTTAGCAAGTTGCTTAAAGTCTAAACTGGTATTGTTGTGCATTTAAGAAGTAAAATTTACCTTTGACCACACGCCCCCCAAAGGAATTTCAGCGCTCCACTTTTGTAAAAATGTCCGCCAGCGCCCCCTGCTGTCCTCTGAACGCCCCCCGGGGGGCAGTAGCGCCCACTTTGAGAAACGCTGTTCTAGAAGATCCTTACAGAACTTGAATATAAGTCTATTTTTCGTTGCACTTTTAGAAGTATTATTTTATAATTTTCAAAATGTTTCAGTTAAAAGCTACTCTCTGCATCCCAAAGAGAAATTAGATGTTTAATAACTCATGTCTTCCAAGTATCTTAAGACAGAGGGCAGGAAAGAGCTCCAGTAGCAGTCAGTCTTGCAGTGAATCAGGAGAAGTCTCTGACTAAACACAGTTGCTGTATGACATTCTCATGCTAACAACTCAACTGGATGTTCTGAAAGGGTTTGAATTGGATTAGGATTCAGCTCATTGATAATATGAAGAACAAATATATTTACAAAGCAAACTGATGCAGTTTCTATACAGAGCTTTAAAGATCAGCTGCACTTTTTGCCAGTAGTTTCTCATGTTTCTTGTTGTTACAATGAAATGAATGTCTAGAGTTTCTCCTGCTCTGATTGGTTCTTATCTCTGCAGCTCAGAGATCCAGATGAAGCTGTCCTCCTGAACCTGGTGCCCTCAGTGATGTCCACAGCTCGTGTCGCTTCAGGCTCCGCCCCCTGGCGTTCCGTCTAATCGGCCATGTCTTGTTGAACCCGACCGATGTCCTCTAGGCAACAGAATGAGCGGCACTGCTGACCCGACCCAGCCCACTGAAACGAGGAGCCCCAAACTGCGGCTCTACAAATGATATGATAGTAGCTGCCTGGATCACTTTCTGTGCCTGTAGGAGCCTTGCCCAGCTGCTGCTGCTCCTCTCCCCTTCGGCGTCCCCGGCCCGGGAGACTCTCGCCGCCGCCCGCCTCGGTGCCATGGGCAACAGCTGTGTGTGCAGAGAGGACAGCGACCTAGAAGACCACCGCCACGACTCGGCCTCCAGATCCACCCGAGGTCAGGCCCGCCGGGTCGACCACGGCGCCGCCGTTGGAGCTGACTCTGCTGACAGAAGCAGCCGGCCCAGAGATCCGGTTCGGCCACCACGCCGAGGCCGCGGCCCGCACGAGCCCAGGCGGAAGAAGCAGAACGTGGACGGGCTGGTGCTGGATACGCTGGCTGTCATCAGGACGCTGGTGGACAAGTAAGTCTGGAGACAGGAAGGCGGGTACAATCAGGTGAGCTGGAAGGAACCAGGCACCTGCAGGTCAAGAAGGTCGGTTCCCCCCTTGAGGTCGGGCGGTTCCCCTCTTAAGGTGGTTCTGTGATTCTCCATCTTGGTTCTCTTACTGTTTGGTTCATTTCCTGCCTCAGAAGCTCTCACCGTGTTAAACCTGCAGGTCTGCAGTGCGGCGTTAGCAGGAGCTTCCTGGTTTGTGGTGGCGTAATGTGTTCGCAGTGGGACTGTACTGGTTCTGATCTGTTGCTTAGCAACTGAGATGCTGAAGAAGAGCAGGGAGGGAAATGTTTTCCTGCTTTTCCTCGCATGGTAACAGACCTCCTGAGGCTCACTGACCCCAGATGGGTTAGAAGGTTCTGGTTGAACTGTGACCAGGTGTTGGTCACAGTTCATAGTTTCTGTTAAGGTGCTGCATTTTAATACCTCTGGAACTTTTTAAGCGCTGCTGTTCAGGCATCTAACCTCCCGTTGTGCCTTTCACCTCTGATGTTTTTTTTATCTCAGCTGGATGTTCTCCTTTCCCAGCAGAGTTGGACCAGTTCAGCCCAGTTCAGCTGTGGGCTGTTTGAGCAGTTTCCAGTCAGCATCAGCAGAAAGCGTCGCCTAACCAGAGCAGAGCGTTATGGGTCCGATCCAGCAGCACCGACTCTTGTCTGTCTTCTGTTTGGTTCACTGGAACCTAGGCTTATTATGCTAATGCTCCGTCAGGCTTTTAGCTCCAAAGCCGTTCATAAAACACACATTACTATTATATCCTAGGGTGGGATTTCAACATGTTCATTTCCATTTATAAATTACAGACATATTAAAATGTTTAACGCAATTAATCTTTTATTTTTACATACAAAAGCCCAGAGCCAGAACCATAAATGTGACGGACGAGCTACATCCTCTCGCAGCAGCGACTCCTCTTGCTTCATTGCTGCTTCTGAATGATCTGATTGGACGATGGAAAAGACTGCTCTTCTGTTCAAATTGTGCTAAAAGGAGTAAGCCTGTCAGAAGCTATGCTAGCATGAAATAGCATCTCAATGCTAGCATGTAGCAGCTAATGCTAATGTTAGTGTCCACAGTCCAGATTTCTAAAGATCCATGAACGATCAGAGAAACTCTGGAAAGATGAACGGATAGAAAACCAATTTTGCTCCAATATGATGAAGAACCTGAAGATTAAAAACTACAGATATTTTTGTTGCTGAGCTCAAGTTGACATTGATTCAATAATTTAGCAGCAAAAAGGGGGTTTTAATTCAAATTGCTGCTGATTTAGTCGATTATATAGTTTTTGATCAATTGTGATTAGTTACAGGCACTGAGGTTACCTCTATTAAAAGTTGGATAGATTTCCTGCAGTTAATTCGGGTGAAGTGCAGGTTGTTCACCTGTGATGACATGTTTTGTGTCTTTCAGTGACCAGGAGCCTCCTTATTCCATGATCACGCTGCATGAGATGGCGGAGACCGGTAAGTCGCTTACAGCAACACATGAGCTTCCATCCTGATCTGTGACACGCCGTCATCAGATGCTGACTTGGTCCTGATCATATTGTTCAGATAAAAGCTGGTTTAGGTATTTGATTGGTTCCTGGATCTCAGCAGATCCTCTCTGGACTGAAACATGTCTGCTGCCTCGCCTAGAATCTTCCTCGTTCTGTCTGACCTGATCCAGACTTTTCATTTGTTCCCCTGTCTAATGTCTGCGTGAACTGCATTAGATGTCAGTAATCCAGCAGGATTATGAGATAGTTTTCCTTTAACTGTGGGAATCTCTACAGCGTTTGTTGGGTGGAAGTTTGGGTCGACTCGACCTGAGGAGACGGATGAACGTTCAGCAGCAGCTCCCTTCCTGTTGGGTTCCACCTCATTTTAATGTCATTAATCTCTGTCTCTACATGCAAATGGATTTAGTAGTTGGCTTATATTTGCTGAGTTTTCCTCGGAGCTGTGCGGCTGGAGGTTCTGTCCATGGTGCCGGTCTGTGTTCCTCCGGTGCCGAAAAGCAAATATTTTGTTTAGTCTTTTCCTTATACAAGGCCTCGTTCTTTTGTCATGGCCTCCTCTCCCGTTTTTACTTTTCCGTGTGCATCGTTATGTTAATGAGGAGAGCTGCCTTCTATGCCAGCTCCTCTGCTATTGGCCAGTAGAGCTTTGGAACCAACGTCACTGCGTCAGACGTTGTGGGGCGTAATTATTTAAAATATTGAATATGACTTGGCATTTTAATAGAGGGCTGTGTGTCTCATGTAAAGGCATGAATTACCACTTTTTGGTATCAGTTGGTCACAAGGCATTTATTAACATTTGTTTGACAGGAGTGAAGCGCTAAGGAGGGAGCAGGAGATCGGCTGGCCGAAATTAGCGTTCATAAATCGGATCATCCTTGAGATAAACGCCGCTTGTTCGGCGGATATTGGAATATCCAATATCCAATTCGAAACTAACGTCACTGCAGTCAGTAACACAATAAAACCACCGGGATGAAGTTTGTTTTGGTGTGTGGCCTGCACCCTAACCCCCATCGCAAATGAGGTGGGAAGTAATTTATGCCTTAATGAAGAGGAAATGCCTGTTTTCAGGATCTATTATGTTCATTGTAATCAAGAACAAGGACAAATTACTCATGAAATTTCATGGGAAACTAAAGCAGCAGATGAGAAATTAGAACATGTTAATTTAATAAACTGGAACTTTTTATTGTTGGTGTCTTGACCAGCTGTGTTCATGAACACATTTAAAGAGGTTTTGAGTTAAAATCTGGTTATTATGCAGTTTATTCCCTTCTTTATTAATGATTTCACTGCTGACTGTTTTCTCCCAGACGACGGTTGGCTGGAGGTGGTCCAGTCTCTGATTCGAGTGATCCCATTGGACGATCCGCTCGGTCCTGCAGTCATCACCCTCCTCCTGGATGAGTGTCCTCTTCCAACCAAGGTGTGGAATCTGGAGTAATCTGCATCCCAGGCTGTTCCAGGCATCAACAATAATCAGGAAGATGCCTGTCTTCATTTTCCAACCTGCCTTTGACTTTCTGTTTCATTTACTGTTTAAGTACATGAGCTGTGTTGGAGAATGAGTCACTGCTGCTGAAACGTTTGAGTCATGATCATCTGAGTGGTGCTGTTATGTTGCGCCACAAAACTTGTGGCATTATGTGGCACTGTGTGGTCTTTTGTGGCGTTATGTGACAATCTGTGTATGTTTTGTGCCGTTTTGTGTTGCTGTGAGGTGTTATTTGGCGTCATGTGACGTTTGTAGATCAACGGCTGTTTTCCTTCCAGGACGCTCTGCAGAAACTGTCGGACATGTTGAGTCTGAGCGCTACGGTGGCCCAGCAGGACGCTCTGAACCCGGCTAAGCACAGAAACACCACAGCCGTCCTGGGCTGCCTGGCTGAGAAGCTAGCAGGTACGGTCAGATAGCCCGGCTTCCTGCACCCAGGGGAGTTTGAGCGCTGCTGAACTTTGACCTTATATGCTGTTGGTAACGCTTCATTATTACTCCAGTTACCCAGCTGCTTTCCTCCTCCAGGACCAGCCAGCATTGGGTTGTTGAGTCCTGGAACCCTGGAGTACCTTCTGGAGAGCCTGGTGAGCGCTCTGTTTCTGGGTCAGAGGTCATGCATGGTTAGTCCCACTGCATGCTGGGTAATCAAGCAGGACCAGTTGGGACATCACTCCATCCAATAATAAGTGAATATGGTCAGACTGTTGAATGTTTGAGGGGAACGTTGCTGACTGGTTGTGTCTCCATGCAGAGCGCCGACTCCCACCCGACTGTCATGCTGTTCGCTCTCATCGCCCTGGAGAAGTTCTCCCAGACCAGTAGGTGGAGCCGACTCATCCCCGATCTGATCCAGCAGAGAAGCAGTTCATGCAGAGGATTTTAATCTTGATAGTAGGGCTGAAATGATTCCTCGGATGATTCGAGTACCTCGATTATTAAAATTCCTAGATTAAAATTTTCCTGCCTCGAAGCTTCCTTAATTTATGTTTTATCATTTAGCGCGCCGTGTTCCGGCCGGAACATTATTTGCGTTGCGCAGAGCTCTGACTTCCGCCTCTGAGTTGTTGACGAAAGCTAAGTGTTAGCATCATAACGTCCAATCTTCAAGTTCGGCCCGCGGGGATTTTATTGATTAATGATAATTCCGGGTTTTCATCGTTTTCGGGGAACCAATAAACATCCTTAAGATGACCGGAGCGACGCCGGGAGTCCGGCAGCCTTTCTGCTCCGGAGCTGGAAGCGAACGGCGGGAAGAAGCTGAGGAGGATTTCTACAGGTAGAGACTGAACACGGCGGGCGGCTGATGCTGACCGTGTAAGAGCAGCTTTAGGACGAACCGCGCAATAAATTTCACATGGCTGGTAGATGAGTTTCTGAGTGACGAACGGAGGAGCCGTAAATATCCCGTTTTGCTCCCCCGGTCTTACTTCGCCTGCCCTCCAACCCCATCCCCCCAATCCAGGAGACATTTCCCGTATTGTCAAACCCAAAGCTTGGCAGGTTTAGGCCAAGGTGAGAGTTCATCTGTTAAACTCACTGAAGATGAACAGAAACTAAAAGCTGGATCATTTTTATCAGCGTATCTGTGAGCCTGGCTCTTTATTATTACATTGGATATAATTTCAGATCTTTGTGTAACTTTTCTTCTGGTTAACTTAAAAAGTGAGCTGTTCTTGTTACAGGTTAGTTTCTAAACTACAGAAAAGTAACTGTTAGGGAAGCTCAAATGTCAAAAATTTGACTGATATTGATATCTGATAGTAACGCTGCTGTTATGTTAGATTTACCAATATTTCATTTTCTAAATGTATTTATCCGGTTACTGAATTAATCGTGTAAGAATAATCGATAGATTACTCGATTACTAAAATATTCGTTTACAACAGCCCTAGTTGATAACACGTCTGTTCAGTCGTCTGGTTTTCTCCAGGCGTCCATGTTTGTTTTCAGCCTAGAATGAGCTGAGGTGATGCTGTGCTGCAGTTTTCATCCACACTCCGGGTTCAGTACTTTCCTTATTGTTCATGAACATTAAAAAACATTCCCTGTTCTTTAATGTTCCTTCACAACACGTTGAGACATTTTCAAGAATAAAGCAACAAGATAAGAAAATCCTCCCTGGACCTCGCTGCCCATCGCAGCGTTTCTCGTCCAGCAGCGTCATTTTCCATATATGGTCAGAACCTTTTGCTCCGTTTGGCTCAAACTTTGATTTAATGTTTTTATGACGTCTCGTTGACCAAACTGAACTTTAAAAACGTCGTCATTTAATTCATTCAGAAAAATGTGTTTGTTTTACGGTGAAAACATTTGCTGGAATAAGAAGTTTTTTGGTTTTTATTAAATTAGTTTCATCATCTTGTTTCAGGTGAGAACAAGCTGACTGTGTCAGAGTCGTCCATCAGCGATCGACTCGCTGTCCTGGAGTCGTGGGCAGACCACCAGGACTACCTGAAGAGGCAGGTCGGCTTCTGCTCACAGTGGAGCCTGGACAACCTGTGTGAGTAAAACTGTGGCGCGGACCGGACCGGACCGGGATCAGAAACTAGACTCTAAAGTAGACTCTGCGGAGTGACGTGTTTCTCCTGTGTTCAGTCCTGAAGGATGGCCGTCAGTTCACCTATGAGAAGGTGAACCTGAGCAGCATCAACGCCATGCTGAACAGCAACGACGTCAGCGAGTACCTCAAGATTTCCCCGACTGGATTGGAGGTCAGTCTGGGTTCATTAGAGTGGAGACGGGATTTCTGGATGCTGACCTCTAGTTAACCTCTGGCTGATCTCGGGTAGCTGAGGACATGAAGGACAGAGAAAGTCTTACTGCCACCAAAGGTCAGCTGAGGTCAGGGCCTGTGTGAGGTTGGATCCCAGCAGTACTGATGTGAAACGGCAGCTGATTGGCTGCAGTGTTGCATATTTTGCACATGCTGATGTTGGGTGGATTGTGAATCAAGCGTGTCAGCAGCAGGTCTCTCAGGCTGCAGGTCTGTCTCAGCGGTTTCGGCTCGCTAGCCGAGCATTGTGAAGCTGCTACTGAGGCGTTTATGCAGATTGAGGCCTCTGGTCTGCAGAGGTTGGTCATCAGCTGAAGGTTTTCCTGTGTCGTGACGTTTTTCAGGCGCGGTGCGACGCCTCGTCCTTTGAGAGCGTGCGCTGTACGTTCTGCGTGGATTCGGGCGTTTGGTACTATGAGGTGACCGTCGTCACATCGGGGGTGATGCAGATCGGATGGGCCACCAAAGACAGCAAGTTCCTCAACCATGTAGGTAGCAGATCTGTGCTGCGCCTCGGCCTGCGTTGCTCTGTTTAACGGCGCTTTGCTCCCACAGGAAGGCTACGGCATCGGAGACGATGAATATTCATGTGCTTATGATGGCTGCAGGCAGCTCATCTGGTACAACGCTCGCAGTAAACCTCATTCTCATCCCTGCTGGAAGGAGGGTGAGCCTCACGTTTAGCGTTTCCTCAACTGTCTGATTGTCACCAACCAAAGAACATACCAGCTGATGGCTGGGTTGATCTCAGCACTCGGCCGCTAACTGGGCTCGCTTTGAGTGAAAACAGTGAAATCGTTTTGTGAATTGTCTGCTGCAGGAGACGCCATCGGCTTCCTGTTAGATCTGAACAAAAAGCAGATGATCTTCTATCTTAATGGACACCAGCTGCCGCCAGAGAAACAAGTCTTCTCCTCAGCCACGTAAGTTTCAGCGCTGCTTCCCTCATCGCACACAGGAAGTAATGCTTTGAGCAAAAACATCAACAGAGACCATTAAACATTTCTGATTAAAATGTACTGTAATGAAGCCTTCTCTCAGGTTTGGAGTGCTCACTTATATTTAAGTAATCAGACTCATTTACAGAAACATAATCATCCTGTGAGGCATAACTAATCAATCTGTTGATCACAGATCAACTAGTAAATTCTGAAGTGGATCTGCTGCTCTAAACGTCTTGGAATGATTCATTTTTCTGTTCGGTCGTATTTATCTTCATGCTTTTAGGTTGTTAATGTTTCCTTTGTGCTGAGGGTCCAGCGGTGGGATGAACCAGTTAGTCGGTGCTGGTTCCTCTGGTCCGACTCATTTCCTGTGGTTCTCCTGCAGGTCGGGTTTCTTCGCCGCCGCCAGCTTCATGTCCTACCAGCAGTGTGAGTTTAACTTCGGGGCCAAGCCGTTCCGCCATCCGCCTTCTGTCAAGTTCAGCACCTTCAACGACTTCGCCTCTCTCAAGCCCACCGAGAAGATCATCCTGCCAAGGTGAGCCCTGCTGCACCAGGGAGTGACCTCTGACCCCCATCCTGTGGCCGCTGCGGCTTGAGCCGCTCTGTGTTCCTGGTTGACTAATAATGCTTGCGTCCGTCTGTTCATCCTGTTGTCATGGAAACGGTGATGATCGGTCATTTTGTTCCCCAGACATCGGCGTCTGGCCTTACTGAAGCAGGTCAGCATCAGGGACAACTGCTGCACGCTGTGCTGCGACGTCATGGCGGACACGGAGCTGCGGCCCTGTGGACACGGGTAAGACTGCAGACCTGAGGCCGGCAGCGGCTGCTGCGGACGCAGCGGCTGCATCACTGACGCTCTCCCCCTCCCGGCAGTGGGATGTGCATGGACTGTGCCTTACAGCTGGAGACGTGTCCGCTGTGCCGCCAGGAGATCCAGACCCGAGTCAGACTCATCGCTCACGTCTCCTGACCAACTTTATGCTCTTCCTCCTCCTGCTCCTCTTCCTCCGTCCTGATGAAGATGGCGCCGTGTTTCCCTGAGGAAGAGGAGGGGAGGAGTCTCCTCTTGGTGTTCTGATCCGGAGCGGATCCTGACAGAACCAGAGCCTTGTTGAGGCAGTCCTCAGAGACCTGAGGATCCCTCCTGCAGCTGCAGACGCTGCAGTCGGCCTGCACGGCGTCTGCTTGTGTTTAAGCCGTCTGCAGGCTGCAGTATTAAATCTGAGGTACAGACACGTTGATTCCATCAATATGCTAATTATAGTTCTCTAAAGGTAGCATTTAATATTTCCTACACAGCTTCTGTCTTTATGAACGGCCCAAAAACTCTTTGTTTGGCTTTATGCCACATTCTGCCGCTGATGAATTTTAAGATTATCATTTATATTCCAAATTCAGTTTGTCCTGCAGCTAGGAAAGGAAACTCTGAGAACTCCTCAAGCTTCTGGGATTTTGCCCACATTCAACCCTCCTCTGTAGAACAGCGCCGCCGCTGGCTGGTCTGAGCGTCAGGGTTTCGGTTCTCTCCAGAAATCGTTTCTGCTGTTGCTTTATGGATTCAGCTGCTGGAAATGTTTCCATGAAGCTTTCAGGGTTTCATCAGATCGGATCTGGAAACGGATTCAACTGAAGCAACTAATAGGAACTGAAACATGTCAAGATGCTTCATCAAGTCACCTTGTTTCCTCCAAGCCGAGGGACACGGCCTCCTCCCCGAGTCGTCTCTGGGTTTACTGAGCTGGCTTTCACAAACGGGTTCATGTACTTTTGGATGGCAGAATGTGTTTCAGGAAAAGTTGTTTGTACAACCAAACAAAGCGCTTCAGTAGGTTTTGAAATTGAACAGTGAATCCTCAAACAAATCCTGCAGATGCAGAAGAGTTGATGGAAACCCTGGGAGAAGACGACGAGTCGGCACCTTAGCGTGGAGCAGAAGAAGAATCTGACTGGTTGGAAACCAAGTTCAGGATTGTAAAGATTAATTTGTGACTTGTATTTAAAACGTTTATAAAGGAATTATGATCCGGAGTTCCCAAAGATGTGATTTATTAAGAAATCGTTTCATGATTTGTGATATTTGTAATAAATGTATGTTTATGTGATCTCTGTCTGTCTGACTCTGGTTTTCCAGCTTCAGCAAAACTCAGATCCTCAGGAGATGCAACGAGTTCAAGGCAGAAATCCGGGCCAAAACAGAACCCCCAGGTTCTGCTCAGATCTGAGTCTGGGCTCCTTTTATCAGCCAATCAAATTTTATTTGTATAGCACATTTCATCAGCAAGGCATTTCAAAGTGCTTTACATCAAACAAACAGTCATGCAACATAGAATCAACAATTAAAACGTGACATTAAGTCGATGCCATCATTAAATTGATCACGTTTCAAATAAACTCTAAGCAGGTGGGTTTTAGTCTGGACTTAAAGGAAGTCAGTGTTTCAGCTGTTTTACAGTTTTCTGGAAGTTTGTTCCAAATTTGTGGTGCAAATGTAACAGTTATGGATGATGCAGCTAACTGCGGCTACAAAAGCAGCATCAGAAGAGAGTCCTTTTAGGGAGCCTGAGGTGTGAATGAAGACAGGAAGCAGTGGTTTGAGTTTTGGTGTATACATTGGTGATTTTAATAAAAACAGACAATTACAAATGCACAATGAGAGACAAATTGACTTAGAATAAATTAATTCCAAAATCACAAAGTTCTTTGTTCTTCTAGTTCACCATCTTCAGATCCAGATAGGGATCTGATCCAACGGGGGGAACCCGACCTTCTGAAAGAGAGTGGGGCGTACTAAACCACAGTCAGCTGTGGTAGTCCCGGTGACGGTCCAGGTAACCAACACCAACAATTCAAGGGATTAAATCAGCAGATGCAAAGATTTGGATGAATTTTCCAGGGAGACACCAGCAGCAAGACACAACCACAGTGGAACAGGTGATGAAGTTCAAACTGCACGCTGGAGGCTTTAAATAAGCTGGCAGAGTTTGGGGCAACACAGGAAGTGGACCCACAAAAATAAAAGTCTTGACTAATTGCGGGTTAAACATAGACGCTGAATGCTTCTTCTGCTCGTTTGGTTCTGGTTCTGGAGATGCAGAGCAGAACCAGAAGATCTGAGGCGTCTGGAAGGTTGATACAACTGTAGATCTTTAATGTGGTGCTAAATCATTCAGTGATTTATAAACTAACAGTATTTTACAGTCTGTTCTCTGAGCTACAGGTGTAGGACTGTAGATCTGGTGTTATGTGCTCCATCTTCCTGGTTCTAGTCAGAACAGCAGCTTCTGGATCAGCTGCAGCTGATTTGTTGGACAGACCTGTGAAGACGCTGCTGCAGGAATCAATGCGGCTAAAGATAAACGCATGGATGAGTTTATTTGGATCACGCTGAGACATCAGTCCTCTAATCCTGGAGATGTTCTTCAGGTGATAGAAGGCTGACTTTGTGACTGTCTTGATGTGGCTCTGAAGGTTCAGGTCAGAGGTCATCACTACTCCCAGGTTTCGGGCTGATCGCTGGTTTTAGTTGTAATAACTGAAACTGTGCATTGACTCTAGATCTATAACTCTAGATCTAAAACCTTGAACCTTAACTCTAGATCTGTAACTTTAGATCTATAGCTCTAGATCTATAAAAGTTACAGGAGACCGGCCCTCCAGACCTGGAGTTGCCCACCCCTGCTCTGGATCTGTAACTCTAGTTCGCTCCTCTTTAGGTCCAAAGATAACTTCGGTTTTGTTTCTGTTCAGCTGGAGAAAGTTTTGTCTCATCCTCACATTTATCTGTTCTAAGCATCTGTTCAGTGACTGGATGGGGTCAAAGGTCACCTGGTGACATCATAATATAGAGCTGTACATCATAGTTATGGTAGCTGATCTTATTTCCTGTTATGACATGAGCCAGTGGGAGCATATAGATATTGAAAAGAAGGGGTCCTAGGATTGAACCTTGGGGTTCCCCACATGTGACCTTTGACCTCTCTGATGAGAAGTTTCCGATTGAAACAAAGTAATCCCTGTTCTTTATGCAAGATTCAAACCAGTTGAGTTCTGAACCGGAGAGTACGTCCCAAGTCTCCAGTCGATTCAGTAAAATGTCCTGATCAACACTGAAGTCCAACAGAACCAGAACCAGCACTGTGGTTCTCCCACAGTCTGTATTCATATGGATATCATTGAACACTTTGACTAGGCCGTCTCCGTGCTGTGGTGAGCACGAAAGCCAGACTGGAAGGAGTCAAAGCGATTCATTATTGTTAGGAAGTTAGTTAATTGTTTAAAAACTGCTTTTTCAATAACTTTGCTGATGAATCAGAGGTCAGAGGTCGGCCTGTAATTCTGCAGTAGTGATTTGTCCAGATTGTTCTTTTTAATCAGTGGTTTGATAACTGCTGTTTTCAAAGCCTGGGGGAAAACACCTGAAGAGAGCGATGAGTTACTATTTGGATCAGATCATTAGCAACGACAGGCAGGACTTTCTTAAAGAAATGTGTAGGTAGGACATCCAGACCGCAGGAACTGGAGCTTAATTGACTTATAATTTCTTCAAGGGTTTTATAATGAAGTAGTTGAAATTGGGTCATTTTTCCTGCATTTGTTTTGTTTGAGCATAGCATTGATACTGGCTTTGGAGAGGATGTGCAGATTAATCCTCTGATCTTTTGA